ACGGAGGTCTGGGAGAGCTCAGCAGCTCAGGACATGGGGCTTTTATTAAATTAAAATAAAAAAAAAAAAAACCAACGGGTGGTCTGGAATGGAAAGCCTACCTACAGTGGGGATGTCTGATCTCATTAATGACACACAGTGGATCAGCACTGTGTGTCTCCTTCCCAGGCACCTTGTGTGTGGGGCTGGCTCAGTGGCCGGGCAGGATTTGTGGTGCCGTGGCTGCCGAAACGAACTTCGGCTGATTTCAAAGAAGCACTTTGTCAGAAATCGCCCAAAATCCCCACTGAAACGCTGTGGAAGAGTCTTCTGTGCAAGCCTGAAAAGCTGCATTATCCTGTTGCAAAGTGAAAGGGGAGGAAAAAAAAAAAAGGCAGTAACAATGGCAAAGGGGATGTTTGCCTGGATTGTGTGTGTCTCGAGGAAAGGCAAGTTTAACCTGCTGTAATGCAGGGTCACTTCCCGTTAGCAAAACCCCCTGAAGGGAGAGGAGGGGGAATGTAAAAAGATACTTTACAGTAAAACAATATACTTATTTTACTCAGAGATCAAGGATTCCTTTTTTTTTTTTTTTTTAAAGGAGTTTTTGAAAACCTACCCTTGGTTTCGCAGAATATCTTTAACTCCCCCAATATGGTCTGGTTTTCACTAAGTCATTATTTAAAAATTGAGCTGTTGTCATCTTCTTTCTTGCACAGGGCAAAAATGACCTTTCTCCAAATGTAATTATGACTTTGTTCCCTAAATTTTCTCCTGCACTTTTACAACTAGGATCTGTACTCACTGAATTTTATTAATGGAGTCGTTCTGTTTTCTGTTCCTTTGAGTTTCGCTCTCCTGTATCTCCCAAAGCATTACACTTGCATGTCTTTGTTCATTAGTTTTAAAGTCTTTCTTCAGCTGGGATAATAGGAAAACCATATATTTCTAGTCATCCAGTTGCAATTCTAGCCACTCTCAGAGGGGCATATACATTTCAAGTTTGGTTCGTGGGGATTTAGATATACAATTCCAGATAGTCTTAATGAGAGTAGCAGTCCTAATTCCCCACACAGCATATTAAAAATGGGTCCAGAATGTAGAGAGTGAAACGCTGTGATCTTACCTTTAAGTACCTTTGCCTTGTTCTCTTTTTTTTTTCCCCTCAATATCATTTGCATGTGTGTTCGTTAGTGAAGGTAACTGAGAGCTGCCCTGAGGATGAGGGAGCTGATCTTTGGAGCCCTTGTCTGGTTTGCTTTGCTGTGTTTTTTTTACTGTGGATTCCCTGCACCTGGGTGTACCTTTTGAACAGAAAGGTTAATTCAAGAGGGAGTTGGAGGAAAGAATTTAGCAAATTGCCTCTGTTATTATTCTGATTGCCTTCGATGTTAGACAAGAACAAGACGCACCTTTTTTGTCACCTTAATTAACTAAAAAAAATTTTTAAAATCCCCCTATACTGTGAATCTAATAAGGATTAAGATTCAGTTATGATGTTAGAACAAGATCTAAGGAAGACAGTTTTCATGCAGGAGGGATGTGGTGGTTTTATACCTGAATTTCAGGAGGAATTGTGCTGGTTTTAATTCTTTCTTAGTCATCCTTTTGTTGTCACAAAACACTAAGAATCATCCATCACCTTTTTCTAATTTGAGACCCCATTCCTAGTTTTGTTGGTGCATTTCTTTCTCTCCTAATCCATGTCTTTATAGGTATCCCCCAGACCTTGTGGGGGTCAATGTCATTGGTGGCATTTCTTTTGGCAGGGTAAGGATGCAGTGAGGAGGGAGGGTTGTCTCCATTTGTAAGGCATTTCCTGGAGCTTAATTCTCACTTCTTGGAGGTTCCTGTACTTACACTTGGAAGCCAATATCCACAAATAACTGGCCTGGTAGTTAGGAGTAAATGGAGTGTGAATACTCTTCTTTCTTTTGTTCAGATCAATATACTAAGAAGTTAGAGAGGAGAGATGTGAGAGTCTGCTCCTTCACTCACTCTGGTCTCCCCTGTTTTACCCTTCTTCCTCACAGTCCGTTTTGACCACCTTGATGATTCCAGCTGGAGTTTTGGGTACTGATGCCCAGCAGCCAAACAGCCCCTCCTGGGGACACAGCCATGCTTTGAGCTGTCTGACAGTCTAAGGGAAGAAGCTGTTTGGCTTCACAACACACCCCTGTTTGTTGCACAGACCGTTTCTTGACATGAAGGCAAATTATCTCCTACTTTGATGCAACCATGGATGAGCAGAAACTCTTTTCTCCTTTCCAGTTTCTTCTTCTCTCTGTTGTCTGCTGGCCAGTAAACTCTTTTCATTTAAAAGGTGATTTAATGAGATAATCTGTTTTCCATTCAGGTTCCTTTCTGTGGCTCTTTTTTTTTCCCCCTCTATCCATCTAACATCTTGGCTGCCTTAGTGAGAGGACTTCCTCCTCTGCAGTTAATGCTACCTGCTGCTTTCTTCATCTTCTCCTACCCCACTGCTTGTTCCTTCCTCCTCCCACAAACACTCTGTGATGCCCATGACCCCATTAATCCGTCCCAGTGTTTTTTCCTCTCCCCATGCCCTAAGATATTCATGACAACACAGTGTGTGACTGCAGGTATGGGATCAGTCAGGGACTGAAGGAACAGGCTCGCTGTGTATGGATGAACTCGGAGTGTGTGCACAGAATTGAGTCTGCCCAGTGTGCTGAGAGCATTTGCATCAAAACCATTTCCCTCTGAGAAGAGAGTTTAGTTTTGACAAAAGATAAGGCAAATATTTGCAAGGCATGAAAAGCAAGGAGAAAAATAAGTTAGAGAGGAGAGGGAGAGCTTGGATGCTACCCCAGAATCTGAGAGCTCTGTAGGCACCTCCTTGCTTTGACCAGGTTTCCTTGTAAGGCTGTGAAATTGCTTAGGATGGGGTTCATCTCAATCAATTAAAAAAGGGCTGGTTTTTTTTTCTGTCTGTGCTGATCTTCAGGGATCCCTCATTAGAGGATCCCCTGAGAAGCTGACTCCATCTCCCTGTATGAACGTTTACAGAAAGGAACTTAAGATGTTATGATTGGAGTCGATGATCTTGGAGGTCTTTGCCAACCTAAACAATTCTGTGATTCTCTGTTCAAAACTTTCTGATCTGCATGGTAAGGGGAAAATAGTAAATGCTGTATCATAATGGCTCTGATTTCCTCAGAAATACAGGGTAGTCAAAAAGAGCCACTCAGACCACTAAAATGCATAGGAGACCATCATTTTGTGGCAAGAGTATTTCTCATCTATTGTGGGTGGATTAAGGATTGGGAAAAGGAACTGAAAACTTGCCACACTGCAAGATCTGATTTTAGTGAATGACTGTGAGATAAGAAAGTGTCTAAGATGGAATCACAGAAACACAGAATGGTTTAGGTTGGAAAAGCTCTCTAAGATCATCGAGTCCAGCCATTCCTCCAGCACTGCCAAGCCTGCCACTAACCTGCGTCCCCAAGTGCCACATCTACAAGGCTTTTAAATACCACCAGTGCCATCTCATCCTTTCTTATGGATTGTTCAGAGGAGAAAAACACTTCTAATCTTCCCTCTGTCCTCAACTAAGACATGGGAAAGAAGTGTTTAGAGAGGGGCAGCTGCTGAGAGTGAGTCAGCAGAGAAAGGAATTACTTTAAATCTGCTTTAAAAAGCCTTTGTATTAGAAATACCAGTCATTTATGGAACGTTTGATGTCCACATTATACAGTAGGACAATCCCTGCCTGGTTTGTTTGGCTTTGTGGTTAGGGCTGAAACCAGTTGTTTTTTTTCCCTTGTACCTCCCAAATGTCTCAGTTGCATTTTTTTTTTCAGAGATTTTAAATAGCCATCAGTCATTCCCCCCTACCTAAATCTCTAGGGCTGAGCCAGCCTGTGACTAAAACTGCCAATAGGCCATTAATGCACAGGATTAAAAAGGAGGAGCAGAGCTGTATGTATGGCCATGGGGCTACTGCTACAAGGGGCTACTGCCCAGGAGCTTACAGAGACATTGAACAGTTCCCATCTGCTCCTCCTTTCTCCCCTAGCTGATCCTGATGCCATCTCCGTGCTGTCCCTAATTTCTTGGATATAGTTTCCTTATTTTCTATTTTTTTGCTACGCTACTTTTTCTCCCTTCCAAACTCTGCCTAAAATGCACCTTTGTAAACAGACACTTGGTTTAATCAATTTTAAATCATAAAATCCTAGAATGGTTTGGGTTGGAGGAGACCTTAAAGATCATCTCATTCCCACCCCCTGCCATGGGCAGGGACACCTTCCACCAGCCCAGGTTGCTCCAAGCCCCAACCAACCTGGCCTTGGACACTTCCAGGGATCCAGGGGCAGCCACAGCTTCTCTGGGCACCCTGTGCCAGGGCCTCACAGGGAAGAACTTTTCCCTAATATCTGATCTAAACCTACTCTCTTTTAGTTTGAAGCCCTTGCCCTTTGTCCCGTCACTCCAGGCCCTGTAAATATTCTCTCTCCATCTTTCCTGCAGGCTCCTGTCAGGTCTTGGAAGGCCACAATTAGGTCACCCCAGAGTCTTCTTATTTCCAGGCTGATCAATCCCAACTCTCTCAGCCTTTCCTCTCAGCAGAGCTGTTCCATCCCTCTGATCATCTTGGTGCCTCCTCTGAGGACCTGCAAGAGGTCCATGCCCTTCCTCTTACATGAATAAGAGGCAAGACAAAGACACATAGCACAGTTTTTTGTCAGAGATATCTTGACTTTCCCGTGCTATCCATCAGAATGTGTGTGTATTTTTTAGAAGGGCAGTGTGTTTTTCTGAGTGGTGCCCTCTGAGATTGTTTATACCCTCTGTGATTATTCCTGTCAATAACTTTTTGTTACAGCACAGCTGCACAGCAATCCTGATATGAAACTTGTATCAGTTACAACTTTTAAAAATACACTTCTGAAAGCAGTTTTGCAAGAAATAAAAATCTTGTGAACTGTGAAAAAAAAAAAAGCAGTATTCCCATGATATGGGATTTGGGGTGGTTTTTTTTCTGTTTTTCACAGGAACACAAATGCTGTTGGGAAGAAGGAAGAGGAGTTGCATTCTTCCAGATGCAGCATCAAGAGAGGCAATCACTGCTGCTGGCTCATCAAAAAGGAGAGATCCCTCCAAAGACACCTCCAAATCCAAAGAGATCCAAGCACAGGGCCTCCTCAAACCAAAACTGTCTGTCTCCAGCTGTATGTGCAATACAAAAACATCATCAAGGATCCTCTCGGAAGAAAACGCTCACAGGCAGAACCAGCTCCTAAAAAGTAAGGTACAAATCCTGCTGGGGTTGTCAGGAATATGGTTTCAATAATAAGATGAGATCAGTCTCAAAGAAAAATGTGAAATAATGGAAAGTCAGGCCATTTTTGTCCAGCTTTAAGTGCTGAGTATGAGTCATCTGGTGAGAGATCAATCAGCTAATCTGACTGTATACATTGCTATGGTTAATAGAAAACAAGATAAAAACGAGAAGGATAGGCTTGCTTTGCAAGGAGGGTTCAAGAAAATCTTGAAAAAGCATTAAAATTGCAAAGTCAAGCAGCCCCAGTCCAACCAAGAAGCACCAGAAGTGAGGTTATTTTTACAACCTCGTTCTGATACCTCTCTTTCACTTCTGCATCCTTTTCTTTCTGACACAACAGCCTGAACTGTGATTATCAACAAGGTTTCAGCATGTAAAACATAATTTCCTCGAGTTCAGCAGCGGCTGGGATGTCTTACTTCCAACATTTATTCTCACAGCTCAACTGGAGGTGACACAAGCAGCTGTATTCACGCATAAGATATTTTTGCAGAAGACAACTGAGATTAATTTGGCTTTAGTATCAATATGTTTGTGAGAAATTCATTCCTTAAAATGCTGTAGTGGTCATACACCCTTTTTTCTTAATAATTTTTTTGTGGGCAGATAGGCAAAACCTTTTCATTATTGACTATAAAGCTACTGAATGTAACACCCATTTAGCTGAGAGAAGCCTAAATTCAGGACCTGAAGTTAAATTTTCCTACCTGGAAGTGACTTTGCTTTTACAAAAAGTGAAGGATCCACTGAGATCTGTCGAAGACCCCATTAATCCACACCTCTGTTAACCTGGCTTATTGAGGAGTTTAATTCCACGTTCACAGGTCTCAAGGTTTATTCCAAAATGTTACTAAGAACAGTATTAGGGAGGAAATACAGCTCAGGCTTTTATAAGGCAAATGTACCCAACGCAGATCACTTTAATATGTTTTTTAAGTACAATATAATATGTACAATATGTCATAAAGAGGAAAATATTTGAAGTTTATTGTAACCAAAAATTGAAATAAAACAGTAACGGGCTTTCTTCCCAGATATTTAGTTCTAGAAATCAATTTATTTGGCAAGGAAGAAGTAGTACTCCAGTGTGACTTTTCAAAATAGTTCATATGGAGCTCTTCCGAAGTTCCTTTGTTATTTTGGATTCATTCTGTCCTCCAAGTAAGAATCTTGTCAGCTCTGATTTTTGAGCACAGAGCCTCTTTTGGTCCTAATTTGTGCAGGGAGTAGCAGCCAGTGAGCATTAAAATTTGATTATAATTGTAGCAAATAATCTCTTTTCCTCAATGTGAATTGACAGCTTTCATAATAATGCTTTCATATGCTATAATGCATATGAACCTTTTGTTGATTATTTTTTTCATGGAGCCTTTCCACTGACTAAGGGATATGTGGAAATGATAGAAAGCAAACTGTATTATCAGCAAAAAAAAAAAAAAAAAAAACAGTATTGTTTGTGGAAGTCTCAATGTAGTCAAAGTGTAACAATATGTTATTTTGTGCAATAAATTGGAGTGACCTCAAACTGCAGGTCACAGCCTGATATCCTTTGCTTTCCACGGTGCAACTGTGTCTTGCTTTTGGGAAGGGAAGACCAGCAAACAGATCAAAATTACAATTATACTTCACCGTGAGCTCTGGCTTAGTGTGAAAGATCCTCTGGGTGTCACAGGGCAGGGAGATTAGATTTGATCTATTCTGCTTAATGAGGCCTATTAATAACACCTTGGCACTCTTATTTCAGAACCTGCCCTCTGAGTCTAATGAGGTGGAGAACCCAATAAAAAATTAGCCATGCACTGTTAACGAACTTTTAAATCTCTCCAAGGCGACTCCGAATTCTGCAGTTCAGGTGAGAGGATAAAGGAGCTCAAGGATGAGTGGGAGCGAGCCAGGAGGGTGACACTGTCCACAGCTCATTGGCCAGGTGTGACTTGGGAGGAAAACAATGTGCTCACCTGGCCAGGAACCGGCTCCCAGCTGGAGGAAATTCCAGCAGCCCCATGGACACTGCAGGTAAGATATCAATTTGTTTCTTTTTTCCTCCTTTTTTTCCTTTCTTTTTCCTTTTTTTTTTTTTCTTTTCCAGTGGATGTTGTTTGCTTCCTGCAGACAGAACTTCCCTTTTCCTTGATTTTTCTCCTTTCCAGGGAAGTTTTGGCAGTTTGTATCCACTGCCAAGACTTGCTTAGTTGTCTGATTATCCAAGCTCCCCGTTTTGAGCCCCAGCTGCCACTCCTATAGAGGAATGTGTTAAAAATTTGGGGATTTTAAAACTTTCCCATTTCCCAAATGTCCAGCACCACAAGCACCAGCTGAAGGTGTGGACATGGCCCCAGGTTGGTACCAACCATGAGCAGCAGATGTACTTTGCTGCCTTTAACTCCAGCACATGTTGCAGACCAATCTCTGCCCTGTCTTCTGCCCCAAGACATTCCTAAATGTTGAAGCAGCCTTTGACTGGAAAGTGTTTTCTTTCTAAGTAGATCTGCATGACAATCTAAATAAACAGGGGAGTTTGTGAACTGTCAGTGACAAGCTGCTGCAGCGATGGGGTGAGACAAGGAAATAGGCAAAACATCAAGAACTTGAACTGGATGACTTATAAAAATATGTAATTCAAAACATGTAAATGTATAAACTTGATAGGACAAGGGGGAATGGCTTCAGACTGCCAGAGGGCAGGGTTGGATGGGATATTGGGAAGGAATTCTCCCTTGTGAGGGTGGGCAGGCCCTGGCACAGGTTGCCCAGAGAAGCTGTGGCTGCCCCATCCCTGGAAGTGTCCAAGGTCAGGTTGGACGGAGCTTGGAGCAACCTGGGCTAGTGGAAGGTGTCCCTGCCCATGGCAGGGAGTTGAAATAAATGGTCTGTAAAGTCCCTTCCAACCCAAACCATTCTGTGAATAGTTTTCATCACTTTAATGAACCCCTTCTGCCCCCATATTGATGCCGATCACGCTTTTTTCTTCCTCTGGATTATGTCCAAATAAAGTGGGTTTTCTGTGTCCTCTAGGAAGCCCTAGAAATCCACAATCCTCGGTTCATCTCTCGCTCCCAAGAAAGGCTGAGGAGACTGGAACACATGGTGCAGCTGAGGAAAGCCCAGCAGAGTGACTCCCCTCTGGGCAGCCCGGGAGCGCTCGTTCGCAAGCTCTCCTCAACATCCACTTCCAGCAGGAGAAAGCACTACACCATTCCTGACCCCCTCAGTGGTGAGTTTAGCTGTGACCAGCAACAGCTCTGTAATCTTCCCACATGTGTAGTATTTCCATGTTAACTTGTGGAAAAAAACACGAGAGACCTGCTGCTCCTGTCTCACCTGCCTGTGCTCCAGCATCCGTCTGGATACTCCCAGCAGAAAGAATCAGGAGCACAGGGGTGGGATAGTGGCAATGAGGAGCGTTCTGTGGTCTGTGGCAGCAGGAGGAGACCTCCTTGGGGACTTTTTGTTGTTATCACATGCAGTCATGGTCAGAGTTGATGCTAATTGTGGAGGTGACAGCAATAAATGGCATTTTATCCCTCTCCCAGCTCCCAGGAGACCATTTTGGGGAGAGAGGTGACAGGTAGGGAGACAAGGTGGGATTTGGGGTTAGGAGGCCTGGTCCAATCTTCTCAGGAGCTTCATGTGTGGATTTGCCATTTGACTCAGGAAGCCCATGGCAGTGAGTGGGCTGTGAAAAGAACTTTTGTTGTGTACAGGACTGTTAAATCAAGGCATCTAAACTCTGTGATTTCCTGATTCAAGATGAATATGTTGTTTTATTACCCCAGAGATAAACAGTCTCAACACCCAGTGAGTAAAGCAGTTCTGAGCAGCTCCATCCCTACAGCACCTCTGTAAATATTATCTAAGCACAAGATGTTAAATTGCTTTTCTTTTTCTTTTTTCTTTTTTCTTTTTTTTTCTTTTTTTTTCTTTTAATTACCATCTGGTTGTTAATTAACTCAGTTGACTAAAGAAAAAGATTTATTTGATTGACTGGCATTCCTCTTTATATCTTGGTTTTAAAACTGTGCCTGTTTGAAGATACATTATGCCACTGAAAAGTAAATCAATTGAAAACGTTAAACAACCAGAAGGGACACCTGGAGGATTCAGGAAAGGGAATGTTTGATATCCTCAACTCAGGGCTCTTCCAGCAGGCCAAGGCACAGGCCAGGAGTCTGTCACCTATCTCAGAAGAAGTAGCAAAAATCTCCCCTTTTTTTAATCATCTTTGAAAGTCCCCCAAACCACTCTGCAAACGCTGTATGAAACAAACAAAAAAAAGAATGGTTAAACCTATTTCTCCTTAAATTGTAATGAAGGTTTAATCTTTATGCTTGTTTAATGATTAATAAAAGCATAACATTGAAATATATTAATTAATTATTCAGCTAAATGACTATTTCCCTCTTTTAGTGGTTGGTCATTAAAGGTAAATTTGCCTAAGGAGAATCTTTAGTTTCTGTAACCGATCTGCCTTCATGTAGCCACAGGTAATTTTCTGTTTGTGAGATTCTAATATTTTTATAATGACAGAAGTGTCAGATGTTCTGTTATTTAAGCATAACTGCAGTTAATATTGGAAATCCAAGATCCCTGGACAAAGCCCAGCTCTGCAGGCTGCAGCACAGAGGGCTGTGTAGGAGTGTGCTGAGCATATTTAATCTGCTCTGAGTCCTGGCAACTGATATTTTAGGATTTGCCCTGGTGGCTGATGTTGTGCAGAAGGATTTGTGCCATCAGTGAGACCCAGAGTGGGGGATCTTTCTTTGCTGCAAGGGCTTCTCCCTCGTGCTCACCCATGGCACTGGATGCCCTTTGTCCTGATGTCCCTGCTGATGACATCCCTGTCCCTCTGAGGTCACAGCCTCCTCCTTCCCTTCTGCCAGCCCCCAAAGCTGTGAGGGAGAGAAGGTATAACTTGTTGCCATCATTATTCTGTGATCTCTGGAATGGCCATTTTACCATGAAAAATGTGCTTTTAAAGCCATGAAGAACTGTGTGTTTCTGAAAACCAAGGCGAAAGGAAAATGCAGCTGTATTGCAGGAAGGGATGCAAGCACAGTTTCATTTACTGGGGTGGGAAGAGGACACCCAAATCCCAGTGATTTAAGGATACCCTGGTGCAAGGGGAGCTGTGGGCACAAGCAGCAGTGTCACCTCCTGCTCTGTCGCTGCATGTGCTCCTCTGTGCCCCTGTGTTTTATTGGGATCAGTGAGCTGATTTACAAGGAACTGGTTTTTAGTAAATTTAGGGGGGGTGTTGTGTTTAAATTAGGATTAAAATTAGTATTCCCTGAGCTGATTCAAAGCCACCTCTTCAAGTAGTGAAGAACCTGGAGTTTATGGAAGGCACAAAGCAGCCAGAAGAGGAAGAACATGTCTGTATATCCAAAGACAGAAAGTCCTGACTCCAGCTCCATCTCCAGCTATACCTGGTTGTGAGTCAGTTGGAGCCTCAGGACTGTGACACCAGAGTTGGGCACAAGGGCTGATGGCTGAGGGTCAGTGTGGTGTTTATCACAACCACTGCTCTCCAGGGTATGGTCCAGTTGCACTGGGCAGCAAAGGACAGAGAGCTGTCCCAGTGTCCTCCCAGTGATGCCATGTCCATACAACACATATTAGAGCTCAGCCATCATTAGAAGTCAAGGCACCTGCACAGCAAACATTCCTGGGCAGGCAGGGCAGTTGATTTGCCACATCCCTAGAGCCACAGGGATTTTGTTTGGTACTGGTGTTACTGGTTTATGGAATCATAGAATCACAGAACGGTTTGGGTTGGAAGGGACCTTAAAGCTCATGTTGTTCCACCCCCTGCCGTGGGCAGGGACACCTTCCACTAGCCCAGGTTGCTCCAAGCCCTGTCCAGCCTGGCCTTGGACACTTGCAGGGATGGGGCAGCCACAGATTCTCTGGGCACCCTGTTCTCCCTCTGGTCTCAAAGAATCTGTGCCCAGTGCAGCCCTCCCTCAGGTTTCCTGGTCTCAGGAATCAGGCTGCTCCTCCACAGGAACACACCATGAAAAGTATTGGAAACTTAGTATTGGAAACTAAGAACCCAGGAGGGTGAAATGGTGGCCTGGAAATGTGTTTAAGCATTCAGGCTCGTATTGATGGTACCTGCAGGCTCCAGGGGGTGATCTTGGAGTTGCTTGTTTCAGTCTGATCATTTCCTCCTTTCTCGTTTTTTCTCTTTCCTGATGTCTTTGGGATTTGTAGAGGTAAAAAGGTCTTTATGGCTCTGAGGTTCACAGGGATCACTGCCAGCACAGCCTCACACATTTTCCAGTGGTCTTTTTCTTAAGAGCAGGTTGGCTGATGAGTTTAATTTCCACTGCCCCGACAGGGTGAGCTCAGGATGGATTTCAAGCCCATCTGTGGCTGGGCAGCAGGAGCAGGTCACTGCAGGTCACTTCCCTCAAGCACTGACTTTAATGTTAGTTATCCAACTAGTTTTCCACCATGAGAGGACATTCCCTGCCCAATTCCCCATGTGATCACACAGGAAGGTGGTGCAGGATAGGGAGAAGTGAGTGCCCATTTTATTCAGGTGTAAATGAGGGTTAAACTGCAGCCTGAGGTGTTTTCCTCTGTGCTTGACAAGTTTGCTGCACTTATTTCTCTCTGAAATGAGCTTGTTACATGTGCTGCTCTCTGGTCTTGCAGCTTTTATTTCAGTAAAATAATTTACACCCAGAGCAGTGACCTGCAGAGATTTTTCTCTACTTGGGATTACTCTATCAGCCTAAAATGTCTTTATTGGGAATATGAAATTATTAGCCTGGTTTCCCTATGTTTTGACAGTGTTGTTACAACTTTAGTTTCTTGCAAGAGAAAGAAATAATTGGCATTCAGCATCATTTCCATATAAATACCAACATCTGTGCACTTTCCATTTACCTTCTCATCCTCAGAAACCCAAGTTGTTTACCATTTTTTAATTGTGATTCACGAGCAGGGTTTTAAGAAGTGCTGAAAGTAATCTCAGAAAAATGAAAATGTTTATCCTGCACAAGATTTTTATCGTCACAAGAGCTCTTCGAAGGCGAAGAACCTGCAACTCTCACTCTAGCCTTTGTGCTGGGTAATGGGTACTGCTAAATTTGAGAGTGCTAATTAGTCCAAGATAGACTACTCTGCTGTTTACTATGTCAGGCAAATTAGAGATCCCACTGTGACGAACTGAATAGAAACAATGTTCAAATAACTGGATTTAAATCTCCAAAACCGTAATGTAATTACTTCAGTGACAGGACTACCAGCTGTTTATAGGCCTTTAAATCTGCATAATGAACAGCCCTGTGATCTTGGTGTACACAAGCACTTTGAGGGGTTTAACAAAATTTCTCAGGCACATATGGTTTTTTTCATACCTTCCATTTCGCTGCCCTTTGAGAGGGTTGGTGGTTCATTGCAAGTGGCAATAGAAGTTGAACGTTACCGTTCAACCCCACCACGGTGCCTGCTCTGTTTGTCTGGATTTGTATCCAAACCCTCCATCTTTAGGAACACTTTGGAAACAAGTTTGTATCTCCTCCATTGCTGGTTCTGAACCCTTCCAAAAAGCTTCACTGGAGGGTGAAGGATTGCTGTTGGTTTGGGTTTTCAAGGTTTCTTGAGCAGCTCCGTGCCAGGGAGGGTTTTGTTTGGACTGTAGAGAGAGGAGAAGGTGGTAACCAGGGAGCAATCCTGCACCACTAAGGTGCACCCTCGTGGTTTTCACATGCCACTGGTGGCTGATGAGATGTTTGCAGCCACCAGCAGCCCACGTGTGACTCGGGGCCAGCAGCTGTGCCGCTGATCCTTTGGGCACTGGCACCTTGTTCAAGGCTGACAGCTCTGAATAAAGACTAAGCTGCAGCCAGGCCATTGAATTAGGGAGTGAAACAACACGTTTTTAGGATATTATTACTCATCACACGGATTAGAGTAGTGCCTGTGAGTCAGATGAGCACACTGCAGGTCACTGGCAGTGGGTGGCAGTGGGTGACACAGTCCCTGGGGACAACGGGGTGGAGGTGAGAGTGGACAGGGTGACCAGCGTGTCCCCTCCGTGACCTCCTCCTGGGGAAGGAGGAAATAGGCAGCCCCTGGGCAGTAAACTGGAAAATCTTCAAACAGGAGGAGTTTTCTGTGTGGGTGACAGGAAACAACGTGTCTCACAGCGGGTGACTCACGGAGCTCAGTCGCTTTGCTGGGATCATTTCGAGGCAGCCTTGGAGCAGCCAAATAAAAAAACATGAATTTTTGATCCTCGAGTTTTTAATCCAGGAGTAAAAGGTCTGATTTCAGCCATGATTAGAAATTGAAGCTAAAGAAGTCAGGTCTAAGAAGCTGGTGCAAATTTTACCAAAGATTTAGTTAATGTTCGATGAATTTACCAAGCTCTGTCCTACCTTCTTCATTAGCTGCTATTTTTTGGATAAAAGAAATTATGCTTTTCAAGACTACGATCTCTAATGACATAAAAAAAGATTTAGGAAGGCCAGGTGAGATGCTAATTGATTTTTTTTTTTGTGGGTAAATTCCATGAATATTTAAGTAGCATTTGGACAGAGGGCACTGAAATCTCCTGCGTCATCCCCAGAATTCACTTAGTATGAAAATGTTTTCGTAAACCTATAAACTTTACAGCCTTTTCAGAGATCTTAGTGATTGTTAAGACAGATATCAGGGAGGGTCAGAAGTCTCAATAGCCGCAGTGTAGGACCTGAACAGCTGGAAAGCTTGAGAATCACCTTCCTGTGGGTCCTCCTGGGGGAAGGACCACTTGGGAGCTTCGGCATTTCTCTGAGATGAGCAGAAGCTCAGACAGTCTCACCCTCAAACCTTTAACTGATGGCTTCTTGCATTTTTTATAAATAATACCAAAACGTCATCTGTTGACTGCAGCTGAGGGAATTCATTGCATGAAGTCACTGACATGGGATGTGCAAAGTTTGGGCAGCACCCCTGGGTGTAGGCACTGGTTTATATTCTCTGGAGGAGTTCCCAGTCGAGTGCTATGGGCACACAAAGCTCAACATCACCTCAACATTTATCTTAGATTCAAGGCTAATTTATTTTTTAGGGAGCTGTTGATTTAAAAAAAAAGTGGTGTTTAAAAAAATGTTTTGTATCTTAGGACTTCTCTGGGCAAAATGGGCTTTTGGGGAATTATTTTTTTCAGTTCAGTAAAAAAAAGCAGTTAAATTAAAGAACCACCACCGCTCTTCAGGGACTGGCAACACATCCTCAAACACATGTTTTAAGTCTTAACAAAGTTTGAGAATTTGCATTCTTGTTAGGAGAAAATGTATCTATGTTCTGTATATTTTGATAAGTTTTGCTACTGTTTTTCTCTTTTTAAGTGTTTCAGTGATTTAGTGGTAAATAGGAAGTCAGAGGCTGGTTCCAACACAATCATTTCATGTGTTCTCTGTCTAAACATTTACTAACTTCCCCAGCAGAGTTACTCATCCTGTTGGAGGTGCAATTCAGCATTAATTAAAATATATTACAAGGGTGACCCATTTATATTCATTTACAGCTTGCTGAAGTGGCTTCTTTCTCCCACTGTGGAAGTGTCAGACCTGGTTGGTGGAAATACCAGAAACTCAGTAGTTTCACATGGTTTGAATAAAACACCAACCAAGTGTTTCATGCCTCTCTATCTATACCTTTGTTTAACTGTGGTGCATCTCTGGAAATGCTGAATATCTGCTTTGAGATCCCTTGTTTTCTCTCATTCACAATAGTTGTCTCCAAAAGCCATACAAGGCTATGAAATTTGATAAAGAGCTTTGATAAGGAAGTTGTAGAATGCAGTTCAAAAGGCTATCAGCTCGGGGAATTGTCCACCTTATGGCCCATTTGATCTTTGGTTGGTGGGAAAGAACCTTAATTCAGGTCTGTATGATGTGCTTGGCAGGTTGTTATAGCTCTGAACGTGTGCTGCTCTTCTACTTCAAAACACACTTTCTTCTCAGTATTGAGTATTAGCAATATTTAGAAGCACATACAACTTTTATTTTCTCATTTATACCGATTTTTCATTTAGTTCTCACTGACATTTTGAATTCTAGTCCTAAAATCTTTCAAGTGATTAGCCTTATTTCTGCCTGATGTTTACATGTGTGTTTTTTACTCATGCATAACAACCTGAGAGGAGCCAAGAGACACCATCAGTGTTTAGCCATGACGGTGGCCTTTTGAGTCCACACAGCTTCACAAAGGATATTTTTATAACCAAGGTGGATTGATTATTTTCTTGGAGGGTTTTCCCCAGACTCCCTTTCTAATCCATCCCTTCAAAGCCCTGCACAGCCACACACCTCGTTCCAGGCACAGCTGTGGGCAGTGGTGGGTCTGATGCCCTTCAAGACCATTTCTGTGCCATCAGGAGAGAATTATTCTGGAGTAAGGGCACCTGCACAGCTCCTGGCCTCTGTGGTGCTTCCCAGCACTCCCACACAGAGCCCAGGCTGTCTTAGGGGCTTGCAGGAAAAATACAGATTAGCTTTTGGTGCTGATCTTTGGTACACAGCAAAGGTCGGGGGGCTGCAGATCCCCAGGTGGGTTTTGCTTGTTCTGATGTCTGTGCACAGGGGTCTGGAAATGTTAATGTGTCATTATGCCCCATCCCTGGAAGTGTCCAAGGCCAGGTTGGATGGGACTTGGAGCGACCTGGGATAATGGAAGGCGACCCTGCCTGTGGCAGGGGGTTGTAATGAGATGGTCTTTAAGGTCCCTTCCAACCCAAACCATTCTATGATTCTGCAATCAACAGCTTTTATTTAGGAAAAAGAGGAGTGGAGATCCCTAAAACAATTAGTTTTATTGCAGAAAACCTGCATCTGAGAATTCCTGGAGTAAAAATCCGTCGATTTGAGCAGTCATCACTCACAGTGCTCAGGAGAGGATACAAAGCACGGGCTCTGCTGGTCAGCCACGCTCTCTGACTGTATCACATCCTGGGAGAGGTCTGCCTTGACTTACTGTGGGAGGACATCATGCAGGCAGTGCAGGTTTGTGCTGGGGTGTCATTTCTAGTGCCCTCAGCTGCTCTTCTGTGCTCTTCAAGGACAGGGGAGCACGCAAGGAACTGGCTGGGACATCAGGGATCTCATGCTGAAGACAATATTACCATACAGACAAAAAGATGCCTGAATTTGCTGTGCAGCATGAAATGCCTCCTGGTTTTGTTTTGCAGCTCAGAGAACCCCCAGTGAGGGTTTTATGTGATTTCAAACTTAGCCTGTGCCATTCTCGGGGTTGGAGGACGTGCCCTGTGGGTAGGGGTGCCTCCTGCAGCCCTGAGCTGTCAGGATGAGGTGTGAACCTTGAGCAGCAGGGGAGGCTGAGGCTGCTCTGGACTGTGCTGGGGATCCACACTGCTCCCAGAAAATCAGTGACCCCTCACCCCAATCCTCCACCAGGACCTTCTGGGTCACAGGCAATCTGCTCCTTTCAGTTGCAGGGTTATTTGGACAGCAATCGCGTCCAAGTGTTTATTCAAGTTAATCAACACATAAATGAACATTAAAACACTAATAAATAGAAGACAAATTATGTTTTCCCAGCAAATTGGGCATGTTGCTTGTGTGTACTGAGGATTTAATAAGAATGATTAAGTGTAAGCAACTGCTGAGTGGAGAAAAGTCAGTCCTGAGGCAGAGGAGGCTTCACAGCCTCTCTCCTTTCTCAAGTTGTGCTTGGAAAACTGCACCAGTTCAGAACAGAAAATGTTGCAAAGCTCCCTTTTATTTTTGATTAGAGAGATAGAACATCCCTCCTATGAGAAAAGGCTGATAGACTTGGGATTGTTCAGCCCGGAGAAGAGAAGGCTCCAGGGAGAACTTAGAGCCCCTTCCAGTGCCTAAAGGGGCTCCAGGAGAGCTGGAGAGGGACTTTGGACAAGGGCCTGGAGGGACAGGACAAGGGAATGGCTTCCCACTGCCAGAGAGTGGGGTTAGATGGGATACTGGGGAGAAATTCTTCCCTGTGAGGGTGATGAGGCCCTGGCACAGGTTGCCCAGAGAAGCTGTGGCTGCTCCATCCCTGGAAGTGTCCAAGGCCAGGTTGGACAGGGCTTGGAGCAACCTGGGCTAGTGGAAGGTGTCCCTGCCCATGGCAGGGGGTGGAATTGGATGAGCTTCAAGGTCCCTTCCAAACCAAGCCATTCTGTGATTCCACGATCCTATGAAGTTTACATAGAGATAACAACTTACAACAGTGATCTCATTTATTTTGTGGCCACCCACCTTGTATGAACACCATCCTTTCCCTTTCAGAAACCATTTTTTGCAGAGAAGGTGTTAAAATCACCTATTCTTGAGAATCACTGACTGCTAAGATCAGTAATTATTTTCCTCTATCCAGGGAAATGCTGACTGGAATTATCACAGATCTCTTCATATTTGATCAGGGAAGAGTAATGTAATTTTCCTCCTTCTAACACTGGGCATAATGATTCAAAGCCCTTCCAGACAGGTGTAAATCGAATCAGAAATGCTGGTACCGGGCCAGGTTCCCAATACACATCAGCTGAGGACATGGCAATGTGACACAAGGATGTGGGGAAGATGGATCACTTGAGAGAGCAGAAATCATCACTGGTTCTTAATCTGAATAAAGGGCATACACAGCTACACGTGGCAATGACAAACCCACATGCCGTTAAAATGAATGAACTCTACAATGAAGGTGGTTGCTGTGGGTCTTATCCAACCTCCTCATTCTGTAGGGAAGTTTCAGGATCAAAAGCAGCTCCAGATGAAGCTGTTAAATGTTTCTCCATTGACCTGTGGAGATTCAGATCCGACCTTAAGCTGTCAAAACTTCAGCCAGCGGTAGCATGTCATGGCTACGTGGGACAGGACATTTAAGACCTAAATAAATGCAGATCTCTCCAATATTAACTTTATTTTCCCTCTGCTAGATAACCTCTTCAAACCAAAGGAAAGGTTCATTCCTGAGAAGGAGATGCACATGAGATCTAAAAGGTAAAAGTTTAGGGTTCACTCGTGGTTTTCTTGATAGATAGTTTGATAGATTTGGGGCAGCCCTGCCCTTTGAGCACCGCTTTTCTACCAGTTTCAGACAGCATGGCATGAAAACTACGTCCCCAACAGGTAACTCCTGTAGAAAATTCACAAATGGAAGCAGTGCAGTCGCTTTGGTGGGGTTGTTTTTCTGTGGTGTCCAATCTTTTCCCTTTGTGCCATCGTGAGCAGCAGGGGAAGCTGTGAAAGGGCCACCATGTGGAATCCATCCTGATTCTAAGAGTGCTCAATGTGCATCCCATTCCTCTCCTCCAGAATAAAATCTCCAGCCCAAACAGGCTCCTTCAAGAAGTCGGTGTTGCAAAATATTATGAGGAAAAATCAGAACTAAACAGGCTTTTTGTGCATGCAAAGAACGGGACTGCTGGGAAGGAAGGCCCAGCTTTTTTTTTTTCTTTTTACTTTTCAAACTCCTGTGAATTTTATCATTGATTTTAATGGAAAAGGATCAGACCAGAAGTCAGCTCTTTTAAAGGCAACTCTTGTTATTTTGAAAATGGAAAGATTGTGTTCTCCTGGTAAAAAGAGTTCCTAATGACTGGGAAAAAATGTTAACAGTCTACAGTCTTATAATGATGGTTTTCTTGTATTTTAGAAGAATACTTGAAAATGATTGCTTGGTATTAATTTTGTTGCATAAATTAAAAAAACAAAAACAAAAACAACAGTGTACAGGCCAAATTCTGGTTTGAATTATGTTGCTATAAATTGAAACCAACTCCACTGAGCTCGTTAGAAGCTACTGCAGAGTTACATTGCAGCACTGAGATAACCTGGTCACATGTCTTTCTTTACTTCCTTTCAATTCCAAAATTAGAACTTCCAACAAGATTTTTTCAACCAGTCAGATTTAATATAAAACCATTATTGTCAATTCCCCTGCCATGAATCTAATTCAGGTGCTTAGAGATGCCATTAATGACAAATATTGCATTGAAGGCAAACGTTTCCTAGAGGAGTCCAGCAGATGACATGTGAACTTCACCTTGTGACTTCGTTACAGGATTTATGAAAATCTACCTGAAGTGAAAAAGAAACAAGAGGAGAAGCAGAAAAGGATCATCATGCAGAGTAACAGGCTGCGAGTGGAGATGTTTAAAAAGGTAAGGATTCCCTGGGAAAGCCAAGCAGAGTTTTGTAACCCCGTAGATGGGTCTGTAGAGGCACTGGGGTCAGGCTGTGCTCACCATGTGCAAACCCTGAGAGCAAGGGATGGCTTTTAAATCTTGCCCTCGGGTTGAGGCACTTCTTTAACCTGGAATTAACAGCTGAACCTTCACAGAAGGGTGGAATGGTTTGGGTTGGAAGGAACCTTAAAGACCATCTCAGTGGCCATGGGCACCACCTTCTACAAGACCAAGTTTCTCCATGCCCCATGTTGGGCTAAGCACCCCAGCCTTTTATTTTTTAAAAAATTAGTAATTAGTTATGATAGAAAGCTGCAGGTGCAGACTGGAGGCATTCCCAGGTAATCCTGCTCCATGTTGCACACAAGTACCAGTTTCTCCTTGTTTAACTGCTCTGTTCCTCCATCTCACAACATCCTTCCTGACCAAGATGGAAAAGCCTGCAGTGTTTGGTTCTTTTTTTGAGCAGTGAACATTTGAAGTCTGAGAATGCCAATTCCGTCTCACCTCTCGTATCACTGAAGATTTCTAGCACCTCATGTATTTTAACAGTATCTTAAAGCTGGTTTTCATCTTTTTTTTTTTTAGCAATTACTGGACCAGCTCCTTCACAGAAACACAGAGTGACAAAGGAGTCTCTTGCCCATCATCCTAATTGGATCTTGAATGCCTTTGACTGCTAGATAAGCCATAAATTAACTGTTATCTCAATTACCTGGAGGTATTTTTCTTATCTTTGCCTCTTTAAATAAAGAAAGATCATTTGTATTTCTGAAATTTTTAAGGCAACTTTCAAGTAATCAAAGACAGTCTGAAAAGGAACACAGCTGTTTCAGAGCATCACCTTTTGGTCAGCTTACCCAGAGGAAATAATTTTAAGAATTTTTAATGCAAATATTGAACTACAGCGGTATTATTTGTGTTAATCTTTTAAAAAGTATTCTTCTCTGTAGCAATAGGAGAGAGTTTGTAAGATGTGGAAAACTGATTTCTCTGAAGTATTCTGTTAATTGATTTCCTGTGAGTTAAATCCTTGAAGTAAAGAAAAATGGACATTGTTATTTGTTACGTTTAGAAAGTAGTTGAAATAGCATTACCACATAATCATAGCAGCAGCAGTTTCACATTAATACTTAACATACCAAAAGGGAACAATATTTCAGCCTTCTGAAGGACTCTACTTCTGTTCATATACTGAACCTACCTACCAACATTACCCATTAAAGAGCAATATTTAAAGATTTGTTTATAACACATTTTTTTCATGTTTTTCATGGTAATGTATATTTTACTCCACTTCTGTGAGCATTCAGTATGTATAGAAATGGCATATTAAGAAGTGGTGCCAAGAAGCATGTTTGCATCAAAACTGCACAAAACTCAAACCATCTGTAATGTTTCCTCCAAAAAATATTTAAATCTTTATTTGTACATTTTGGAAGTAAAAACAAGCAGCTTACAAACCAATGGAGTTTATTTATGGAATAAAGTATGAGTGTAATATTGATCCAACCGCTCTGTTTTTATTTGGTGCTGTTAAATATAACACAATTATGGAAACTGCTGGAGAAGTCATGTTTTTGTACCCACAAACCCCGTGGTATAAAATACCATAAAAAATCATTGCAAGTATTAATCTTTGTTGCCCCAACCCCTGATTGAGCGTGCTTGAAGGAGGCTGGAATTTGACCTTTGATATCTCTGCTTTATTTTCCTAATCTAGGCTGAGATGGAAGGTCAGTTCTTTTGGAAGAGGGATGTTTGTGAGCTGGGCTCTGGCCACTGCGACATCCTCCAGCTGTGTGACCCGTGCTGGACACAAGGGACCTGCTTGTATTTTGTGCTCTGTCTTTGTTGGATTATTTAGCCTTTTTGTGTTTCAGTTAACATAAGAATAATGTTAATTTTTTGCCCAGAGAGAAGATAGAGACCTCTTGAACAAATATGCTGTGTTCCAGATAGATATCTTCAAAAATTCATCAGGTAGTTCAACACAATGCAGAGAACATGGAAGGTAAGGTAATGCTGGCTGTGAGGAAGAGACTGCCAGGGTTCTTCCCCAAAAAAGGTCTTTTAAACCAAGCAAGCAAAGCTTTACTGGAAACCCAAGTCAAGGCTGGACCGCAGGTAACTCAAAGCAGAACTTGTAAAAGGAACTACAAGAAGGAGCATCCTCCAAGCTTTGCAGCTCAGCTCCGTGGTGGATCTGCTCTCCTGAGGGCTCACTGATCCCTCTTGCTGCTCTCCAGGAAAAACACACATTGCCTGCCTCAAACAGGAGGGTCTTTCTCTCTCTGGTGGACTCCTGGGTCTCCATCACGGAGTGATAAATTACAGCCATGCACACACCCACGCACGGTCTACTGGACTGAATCTGGAGGATTGTATTTCAAGCTTCCATCCAGTTCTAGCTCACTACAACAGTTAGAGACATTTCCTATAGAATCAATGCCCAGATCTCCTTTGATTTCAGTAGGAACTGATCATTTCTCCCCCTTGGTTGCTTAGTCTCTGGTTTCTTGACTTCAGAGAAATGCAGCTTTGGTTCATCAGCTCCTTCCGCCCTTCAGAAGAATTATTTCCTGTACATATGTCATATCTGGAGAATTATTTCCTGTACATATGTCATATCCAGAGAATTATCACGTACATTTAAACCTGTTCTACTTTATTATACATTAATCCTGCCTGTGGTCTCAAGCTTGAGCCACAGCAAGCTGTTTTGGCCTGGAGAAAAAGCGTTTGGAATTCAGTATCTGTGAAGGACACAGCAAGATACTTCCTTGTGTCAGGGTTGTCCCCTGGTGTGGGACTGACACCCAGAGCCACCAGAAGAGAGCCCCAAAGCTTTTCCCACTTCTTCTCTGGCAGAGTGGAAGAGACAGGGTCCTCCTTGTTGGGAGTAAGAGTATTTTACATGGAAATCAGACGTTTTTCTTGCAGGGATGCCCAGGAATTCAAGGGAGATGGCTTAATCCAGCTGCCATAGTATATCCCTACTCCATGCCCATACAACTGTATATGTAAATATATATACATCTCTGATATGCTTCTCACTCTCTGGCTGGGAATATCAAACAGAAGAGCTGATCCTCCTTAAAGAGCATGGCACCCAGATGATCCTCTTGAGGAAATGAATGATGTGAGTATTTTGTGGGATGGAGAGCACAGGCTTTTCCCCCTTGGAACCCCCACTGATGTTCTGACCCTGCTGATGTCCCCAACACCTCAGCTGACCTGGTTTCCTCTCATTTTTGCTGTTGTTGGGGCTGGGATACCAGCACCAATGTGCTGCATCCTCTGGCTCATGAGCAACTCCACCTGCTCAAAAAATCTTTTGTGTTTGTTTAACAGATATTTCCAGATGTTTTTATTTTCTCTAAGTAGAATTTTCAAAATCTTCAGGACGAAATACATGGCAATTTGAGGTGGAGATTCTCTTGTATAAATCAGCTTGGGAGTATAACTAGTGAGGAAAATGCATGATGCAAATCACTGTCTGGGAATGTTTTACATGATGTGAAACCTTCGATTCAGAAAATCAAAAATTATCTCTGTTGCAAACCTAATTTCTCTCTTTCCGGGCCTGAGAAAAGAAGGTGCCCACCAAACAATTCTGACATTCATTTCAGCTCCACAATCCAGTCATTGTGGCAGAAAATAGATCGTACAGGAAAATGTTTCTTCAGAAAAATAGGAGCCTTGCAGGCATAGCCCTGTACAAGCAGCAGCAGCTTAATGGAGTTTAGAGTTAAGGAAAAAGTGCTGTGATTTCACTTTGGACTTACAGGTACTTCAAAATAAAAAACATTTACCATCAGATAAAAGAGTTGGAGATCACCAACACTGGTCAAACTCTGGAATTTTCCTTCTTACTGGAAAAACTTGCTGACTGAGTTCAAATTCTCTGGGTGTCAACCCATGAGCTGTGTCTTCAGGAGGGACAAATTTCCTGCTGGGACAACTCTGAAAGGATTAACATATCTGGTAACAGGCATTGGTTATATTTGTTGGGTCATCTCTTCTCACACTGCTGATCTGTGTGTACCCACAGAGCAGGTTTTAGTAACTAATGGTGGCTGGGGGGAGATGTTGAGATGGTTTGGGGGTGTTAAGGCACAGAGCCCATGTAGGTTTGTCAACACATTGACCTGGTATTGTCCTTCCAGAGCACAAAGCCTCTCCATAGGGTTGGAATTCTGCTTTAATGGAAATGAAGCCCACATGGGGAAAGGCACAGTGGTTTAGGTGTGCAAGACGTGGTGTTTGTTTGCTTGCTGGCATCATTAATTTCATCTGACAGAAATGCCTCATTAAGGGCTGAAAGCCATTGTAACATAAAGCACCGAGGGGTTACAGTGTTCTGGGGATTTATTTAAACCCAAATATTTTCCTGTGTATGTGTATGCAAGTCATTAGTTACTTCTTCAAGTTTACTCAGCTGGTCAGAGGGATGAGGAGAATGTCTGGGTAAGACTTTTTAGGGGTTTTGTTGTTGAGTATCTGGGATTGGTCACGTTAGCGTAATGTTTTCTGTGAGAGAGCTGATTTACAAGGAAAACAGCACACAAAAGCAGGGATAAAGTTTCTGGCAGCTCTCTCCAGAGGAAACAGTTCCCTGATAGAGCCATCACAGCAAGAGCTCCACAGTTAAAAATACCCCAGCTCGCCTCATGTGAAGGGCTGCTTGCCCCTTTGACTTGAGGGACAGACATGCCTGTGTGCTTTGATGGATGAGTAATTATCTTTCCAGGAGCATTGACTGGCCACTTGTTCACTGCCAGAGTAAATCAGGATACAGGGTTGTCCCACGGGGTCATAATTCCAGCTCTGTGACTCCAGCCAGTGTAGTTTGTCACTCAGTGGTTCCTTGTTGGGCTGGATGCCCATGAGATGCCCTCACTGTGCTCCCCCCTGCCCTGGCCACAGGTCAGCACCTGGCAACTCCAGCTGAGACCATTCCCCATCTACAACCTTCTGAATAAAAGGGGGTTTTATTTGAACAGTGGCACAAACTGAAATGCAATAAAATGGGATGCTGGTTAACGAAGCTTCTGAAAATCTTTCAAATATACTGCAGGTAGAGAAACCCGCCGTGTGTCTGAAAATATTAACTAAGTTTAGATTTAAATATGTGTCTACTGACATCAAAATCAAAAAATTCTTGCCCCAAATCCTTACTTAGAGAGAGGAGCCTGTGCTGCTCCTGGAGTGGTGCCAGTCTGCGGGTCAGTGATGATGTACTGGTGTGTTGGGCTCTGGAAGAGAAGTTTGTCTCCCAGCTGAGCTACCTGGAGGTATCTTGGGAGATTGTGGTTTGTCTCTTGCAATGTCTGTTTAACTGTGACAAAATTGTTGGAGGAAGCATGTCAGGTGTATTAGGAAGTAATTCTTCCCTGTGAGGGTGGGGAGGCCCTGGCACAGGTTGCCCAGAGAAGCTGTGGATTCCCGGCCCTGGAAGTGTCCAAGGCCAGGTTGGACAAGGCTTGGAGCAACTTTAAGGACTTTTGCAACACAAACCATCCTGTGATTCCATGTGACAACACATTTCTACGTTGAGAATATAAAACATCCTCTTTTTCAGGTCAGGAATCTTACTTTTCCTAGTTCTCCTTGGCTCTGTACCAAAGCTGTAGGAGGCAGAATTACTTAATATCCATTTAAGATGACCCACAGAATAAGATAATGAGGTGTATCATCTCCTTAGCAGCTGCAGAGTGATTAAAAAGGAAGAAAAAAAGGAGAAGGAACTGCACAAATTTTCTCATGGTACACACAGTTCTATAAAATGATATAAAATAGCAAAAGTGCAATGAACTGCTTGAGGATTGTGTTGCATAGATAGGAATATGTAAAAGAGCTCCTAATTGCAGAAATTTTGGTGTTTTGGTTTTTTTATAAATTGGTCACAGTGCTGTATTTTTAGACTTCACGTTTTAAAATATTTTTATCTTCTACAGTATCTTATGATGACTAGACTTTAGTTAACATATAATTACAGGAGGATACTCATGCAAAAACCTATTGCATGGTGACTGCTCTGAGGTTCTAGAATTACTGCAGGTCTGCAACTGGCTTGAGAAATTGCCAGTAGAAGAGGGCAAAAACCTCTTTGGAAACCTTCCTCTTCTTGCTTGGGCCATCTGCTAATCCACTCTGTAATGTGCTCTTGCAGCTCTTGAAGCTGTGCTTGAAGAATGGGGAGACTTCCATTTCTATTCCTGTTTCTGTGGCTTTTTTAAAACTTTTTGGTCCCTAAAGTGAGCACTTTTTATCCCCTTATATCCCCTTATGGGATGATGTGGGGAAAGTTAATAAAAATCATGGCCAAAGGGTGCTCAGGGGAGTGGTGCCCTGTCTGAATGTGGGCTCATCTTCTGATTACCTGATAAGGGTGTCTAAAAGAAAAGTCTCTAAATTAAATTAATTGTGATATATAACTGTGGCCAGGGAGTTCAACCAAAACCTTCCACTAGCCCAGGTTGCTCCAAGCCCCATCCAACCTGG